GCGCGGGGCTGGAGCCTGAACGGCGCGCGGTGAGTCTCGTCGCCCGGTGGCGATGCCGGCGGGACGCTCCGGGGGCCACCGCATCGCGGCAGGCTCGGCGGACGCCTGTGCCTTGCCGAGGCCGGGATGCAAGCTGTACCTCACGGGGGGAGCCTTTAAGATGTGGTGGTCACAGGGCTTGGGGCAACGAGATACACAAAGGGAAAAGTTAATTATTTAACACCGCTTATTCAGCGAGATCAGTTACTGGCTCCTGCTGATGTCCTTGCTCTTTTTTTTTTCGTTTGGCGCGTAGTCACTTTTGGCCCCTTCTGATGAAGCTTTTGATTTTCCTGACTCCGACCTCCAAACCCTGCTGTTCGGGAGAGCCGTCGTGGACTCCTCAAGATCCACGTCCCATCCAAGTGTCCACTTTCCAGCTGGGGTTGCTGGTTCTTGTCTGAACCAGAGCCTTGACTTATTGGACTTGCTCCCGTATTTGTGGTGTGTTGAAATACAGGTAAACGCTAGGGTGTTATAGAGTGGGAGATGTTTGCTGAAGGGTTTTCAAATGTTAAGGGTGTTGTAAATCTTCTCTATTTTGAACTCTCAGAGTTCCTCCTCGGAAACATCTCTTCTGTTTTGGCTGATGCAGAGAATTGCAACTCTGCATGGAGCGGAATGGAAACCTTGGGCACTTTGGCTCTTTGCATAGCAGGAGATGGAAAAAACAGAGCGGGCCTTGACTGAAAGCAAAGGGAAGAAAGGCCTTTTTGTTCGGATGCTTTTGAAATGGGCTGTTCCGTCACCGTTGGAATTCTTTTTTTTTTCCTCCAAAATTTAATTTCGCCAGAATTGACCTAATTTCATGAAGTGTTTTGGTTTCGATAGAACGACGTTTTCCAATGGAAAACTCTTCAGTTGCGGTTTTCCAGGCTGGCTTTCATATTAGCACTTCTCCTCGGGATGTGAAACGGAAAGTCTTCGTCGATGCCTTTTGGGTAAGACTTGCGTTACCCCTTGCGAGAAGTCGCCGTCTCTCGGTCCTGCTGTGACATGTTCCTGCCGGCCCGCTCTGAGCCAGTGGCTGCCTACACAAGTGCCCTAGGGCCTCTTTGTTTATCAGCCTCTGGGGCCGGAGGCTTTAAATGCTGCTGAGCTTGGGTTTTTTGCTTTGTTTTAGGTTTTTTTATGGTGTTCAAAGGGTACAAAGCACAGAATTGTTGGAATGAGGCCCTGGGATGGCTCCTGACCCGCGCGCAGTGCACAGGCTGCTAGCGTTTGCTAAGCACCGTCCCCTGCTCAGGGTCCCGGTAGGTGCTGGATCTGAGCAGCCACCTTTCGGGTGGCTTGGGTGACCTGCTTGTATTGAGTTGCACTTTTGGGACCTGATCACAACTTTGGTGGCTTTTGCATCCAATATGAGAATCAGAGGCATTAAATCATGCCAGTGAGAGCCAGGTTCAAAATAAGTAACAAGTAGGTCGTTACACAGCAGTTGAGGGAGGTAGAAGTTAAATCAAACGTGGGTTTGTGGGGGCAAGCAGGCAAGGAGGCGGAAGAAGAATCAACTGCAGCTTCCGTACGTGCTAAAATAGGTCACAGACCGTGGGGCCGGGCTGAGTTGCTTTTTAAGCAAATGGGGGGGGGGGGGAAGAGCTGTGATTTTTTGCTGCTGCTCTCCAGCAGTGTGGGTGTGCATCTGTCCTGCTCCAGCGCTCTGCTTGCAAATACATGGAGAAGAGCAAAGCGGTGCGGCAGCAGCCAGCTTGTGCTCTCCTGACCCACTAACCAAGAGAGCTGGAGATGGGAACGGGCCGATTTAATGTTGGTTCTTGCTGTAGGATGGTTTATGTCTCTCAGCGAGTTTCCCGGCTAGGGCTAAAGGCTCGCTTACAAGTGCGATCTTTGCTTTTCCCCACGGCCTTGGACAACTCCAGGCCTCTCAGACTTGCTAGAGCTTAATTTCCTGGAGCTAACCCAGACCGAGGGGATGCACAGTGAGGGGCATATAATTTGCCAACAGGCAGCTGCTGTGGCCACCAAGAAAGCCTCAGTCCCAGGCACTGAAAAGGCCAGGTCCCACAGGTGATGGGGACTGGCTCGTTGTCCCCTTTCCCCCACCTTGCTCCTCGTTCAGGTTTACCCAGGCTGGACCGAGCAAGATGCAGAACAGCTGCTCCTGCTCTGTGCCGGCTGCAGAAAAAGCAGCTTTGCTCTTGCAAGCAACACAGCAAAAGCGTTTCTGCACATGGAAACTTCTTGGCGCGGGTATCCTCTCTTCCCCAAATTATAGCAGAGAGTCTAATAAAAGATACTGTGGTGGTGTTGTCTGAGGCGAAGATGTCTAGATTGGGGAAAGAGAGGCCAGCTGCAGAGACGTAAGATTAAGTAGGCTCCAAGTTGGACTGGGCTGAAAACCCCGGTGAGTAAAACGCAGCTCGGTGCAGCGCCGTGGGGGGTTTGGGGAAGCGGTTAGCCTCTTTCCTGAGCCGTTCCTCGCCTGGAAAGGGGCCCTGCTAGCTCTCCTGCGAGCCTTATTTAACGCGTCTGCGTTTGTAAGCGTCTCCTGCTGCAAGAGCGTGCTGGTGATGTAGCGTCTTGCGGGGTACGGAGAGGCGAAAAGACCGTTTTGGAGCTATTTGGTGGCTGAGCTAGGGCAGCATCTAGGAGTTTTACTCCGAATTGTTGCTTTTTGCTGCTTTATCTGGGACGATGGAGGCTGTAGGGGAAAACTGCAGCTGGGAAACAAGGGCAGCACCCGGAGAAGATGGGAGCGCTGTATTAAATCTCTCGGCGGAGCGTCCCAGGATGCTGTAGGTGGGTGAGGTGGTGCCTGCAGCGAGCCTGGCCTGGCAGGGGGTTGCAGCATCCGTGCCGGGAGCCTCAGCCGAATCCCTCCTTCCCTGGGAAGTCGTTTTGCTGGGTCCCCTGGTGCTTCCCAGCCGGATCCCTGTGCCCGGGGACCCTCATGCTCCCGGGGACCAGGAGATGCTGAGAGCCGTCGCGGGTGCTCTCAGGCCACCACCTGCTTCCTTAAAAGAAGCACGAGCCTGCCAGAGGGGATTTCGGAGAGCAGGGGCCAAGAAGGGCTAGGGAAATCCAGCCGCTGCACAGCGAGCTCCCCCGAGCGCCGGGCTCCGAACTCGCTGCCTTTCCCATCGGTGGGGGGGCGTCTCCTCCTTAAAAGCAGCTCCGACCTTGCCCGTCGCTGCTAACGCTCGAGGAGGTGGGTCGGTTTGTGGGCTCGCAGGACATCCTCTGCGACACGTGATGGCCCGCCACAAAGCAGCCGGGGCATCTCCCCGAGAGCGGCAGTAGCTCTGCGGCCCTCCGGCGCTCTCGGTTTGGCTGGGGTCTGGGGGCCGCCCGTGGCGGGGGCGGCTTTGGGAGCTGCAGGAGAGATGGAGAGCTGCAGCGGCTGCCGCTGCGAAGGGAAGCTGTGCTGGATGCCTCGAGCTGCCCAAGGGTGTCTCCTTCACCCTCGCTGCCATAAGAGGGTGGGGATTAGCAGGAACTGATTTATCTGCAGGCTGATTACAACTGGAGTTTTTTCTGCCCGTGGTGAGGCACTGGGGTTATTCTGCTCCGAAGCAGAACGAAAGCTAACGTTGCACGCCGCTCATGCGGGACGCTCTCGCACTAAGGGATTTCTCTTTTTGCTTTGCTAGGGGAAGAGAGGATGGCCTTGTAGATGCCCAGCCTGCAGAGGTATCGCCCCCTCTGCCTGGACCGAGAGGACGGACTGTAAGTAGCTGCTGTCTCCTGGCTTCTCGTATCCCCGTCTGCGCCCGGGTCCCCCCAGGCGTGCCCGGCAGCGGAGCGGAGAGCACCAGCCTTC